TAGCAAGAATTTTTATGTTCCTACATTTTTTACAAATATCTATATAATATTTAAGCTGGTATGATTTAGCAGTTCCTATATTGTTGGACATTTCGATTGCTTCTGATTTTCTATTTATAGAAACAGCACTACAAAAAAATATTCATGATTTTTGTCTTCTCTTAGATAATTTTATCCATTATTTATGACTCTTATTTTTAAAGCATTCTTTTAAAAAAATTATTTATTTGAGAGCAAGAGAGATAGAACAAAAGAGAGCACAAATGGTGGAGAGGGAGAAGCAGGCTGCCCACAGGGAGCCTGATGTGGGGCTTGATCCCAGGACCCTGGGATCATGACCTGAGCTGAAGGCAGCCACTCAACAGACTGAGCCACCCAGGCACCCCCATTATTTATGACTCTTAATATGTGTTATCAAATTGCTTTCCCAGGATTGTACCCTTACATTTTCCTGTAGGCTATACCAGCCTCATTCTATAGTGAGTACTAGAGTTTCATTGATTTACTGCTTTTTCCTCTCTTTTAAGAAAAACCTTTATTATAGGAAATGTAGGAGAAAAACATAAAGATAGAAAATATACATGACCTATAATATCATGATTCACAGATAACCTTATTAAAATTGGGGCACATATCCTTACTATAATTTAAGAGTAGCAAAACTTACCATCTTCATATTGTTTTTTCCGAGTTGTACTTTTATCAAGCGATCCATCTAAAAAGCCTTTGCCAATCTCAGACCAAACCTGAAAATAGGAAAACATACTTATTATCTAGTAAAGTAGATTATCTAAGTAATACCAAGCAATCTAAGCCAATAATTGAGAAATTCCTATCTTACCAACAGATCTGATAATTAAGTTCTCCCTTTTAAGTGGCCTGCATAATGATTTACTCCATAGTCTCGGAGGATAGAGTGCAAATATATTTTAATAATTTCAGTCAGGGCACTTTAAAACTAATTATAACTAGAAAGTCAAAAGTTTCTTTTCTTTAAAAGATGTAGGAATGCGGAAGAAAAGGACGTGGCAATAGAGTCAATTTTAAATTTTTTACTATAACAGCACCAGTGGATGAATAAAATTCATAGGGAAATCCAAATTTTTACTTCACCTGTGATACTGATAAGCACTGGCTGAGAACCAGAAAAAAGGTTAAAAATTAGTCTAGGGTATAGAGATAGTAAACAATAAAACAGGCTTCCAGTTGTTTCAAAACTGGATAATTAGCCCCTGAAAAAAACTTTAGCTTATTTAAAAGTTGTGAAAGAATGTAGGGAAAGAATATAACACTCATTAATCAATGCTAAATATTTGAATAATTATTAATAGTAAGAGTCCTTAACTCTTACCTTACAAAGATACCTTACACATTTTTTAAATGTGAAAAATTAAACTATTAAAATTACTGTGAAAATGTATAGTAAATGTTTATATTAGGAATACCCCTAAAGCAGGAAAGGAGTTTCTTTTTTTTTTTAAGATTTTATTTATTTATTTGAGAGAGCGAGTGAGTGCGCATGAGTGGGGGGGAGGGGCAGAGGGCGAGGGAGAAGCAGACCATCCCACTGAGCAGGGAGTCCAATGTGGGGCTCAATCCCAGGACCCCAAGATCATTACCTGTGCAGACGCTTAACTGACTAAGCCACCCAGGAGCCCTGGGAAAGGAGTTTCTAAGCATGACACAGAGCAGAGGGCATAAATTAATGATGAGAAAGCTGAATTCATTTAGCAACTCCATTCCAATGAAAAAAAGCTGAACAGACTGAAAAATCAACAACTCTCCTTGGACCCTAAGACAGGAGAGGACCCAGGGTTTAAAGAAACTAGGGAAAACAGGAAGACAGGAAAGGGCCCAAGATTAAAGAGACAGGTGAAATCAGGGAGTTACCTCTTACCGAAGCAGAGACCCACAAGCAGAAACCACCTCAGGAACCAGTCCTGGGGTAGGAAAACCTGAACTGTAATTAACAAATAGCTGGAGGTTCAGTATACACAACTCTGAGAATTAAAAACTCCAGGGAGACCCAATCATAGTCCCAACCCCTGCCCCCCAAAATATTGTGAGATTTACCTTTAAGAGCTCAACCAGGTTCCCACAGTAAATAATGAAGAAACTCCCCCTTGGGCTTCTAGCAGGGAAGCTTGAAAAAAATTTCCTTGAAAAAGGACCTAATTTGAAATAAACCAGAGCACTCTGTTCTTCTTAACAAGGCCTGCCCTCAGAGCCTAACCTGCTGGGGTTTTGTCAGAGCCTAACTGCCTAGGAGAAGGGAAATATCCAACTCCAGTCAGGGCTAGCGTTTCATGTGGAAGAAGGAAGAAGGAAGCCATCCTGTCCCACCCAAATGGGGAGGGGAAAAAAAAACTGAGAAACACTTATGAAGTTCACGATCCAGAGGCACAGGCTCACTAAAAGACTGACACCTAATCATAGGACTGTGGGATGCTTCCCCTTTCCTCACACCTCACCATCACATTACTAAAGGCGTATTTACACCAGTTTCTTTTACCCAGTTTGTCCAGGGATCAATAAAAAAATTACAAGGGATACCAAAAGGTAAAAAATACAATTTGAAGAAACAGAGCAAGCATTAGAACAATATATGGAGGGGACACTGGAATTATCAGATGAAGAACTAATTAATTAATTAATTTAGAGCATGCGAGAGGGGGTTGGGGGGAAGTTGGGAGGAGGGGCAGAGGGAGAAAGAGAATCTCCAGCAGGCTCCACGCCCAGCACGGAGCCCGACGTGGGGCTTGCTCTCACAACCCAAGACCATGACCCGAGCCAATACCAAGAGTCAGATGCCCAACTGACTAAGCCACCCAGGCGCCCCCAGGAATTTAAAACAACTCTGCTTAATATGCTGCTAAGGGTTCTAAAGGATCCTTAGGTAAAGGATAAAGCACACAGCATGCAAGAACAGATAGGCAATGTAGGCAGAGAGATGGAAATCCTAACCACCAGAAAGAAATGTTAGAGATAAAAAACACTGTAGCAGAAATGAATGCCTTTTGTAGGCTTATTAGTACACTGGTCACAGCTTAGTAAAGAACCTCTGAGCCAGAGGATACATCAATAGAATCCTCAAAAACCGTTTCTTACAAAATTAAACATACTCTTACCAGCAATCACACCTCTTGATATTTACCCAAAGGAGCTGGAAACTTATGTCCACACAACAACCTGCACACAGCTGTTCACTGCAGCTTTGTTCATAACTGCCAAAACTGGGAAGCAACCAAGATGTCCTTTAGTAGATGAATGGATGAGCTGTGGTACATCCAGACAATGCAATACTATTCAGTGCTAAAAGAAATGAGCTATCAAGCCATGAAAAGACATGGATGAAGCTTAAATATAAGTGAAAAATAAACCAATCTGAGGAGTTTACATACTGAATGATTCCAACTATATGACATTCTAGAAAAGGCAAAACTAAGGATACAATAAAAAGGTCAGTGCTTGGGCGCCTGGGTGGCTTAGTCGTTAAGGGTCTGCCTTCAGCTCAGGTCATGATCCCAGGTTCTGGGATCGAGCCCCACATCAGGCTCCCTGCTCGGTGGGAAGCCTGCTTCTCCCTCTCCCACTCCCCCTGCTTGTATTCCTGCTCTCGCTATCTCTCTGTCAAATAAATAAACAAAATCTTCAAAAAAAAAAAATCTTTAAAAAAGGTCAGTGCTTGCCAGAAAGAGGAGGCAGGAGATGAATAGACAGAGGATTTTTAGGGCAGTGAAAATCCTTTGTATGATATTATAATGATAGATATATGTTATTATACATTTGTCCAAACCCACTGGATGTACAATACCAACTTGAACCCTTGGGGTAATTATGATATGTCAATATAGGTTCATCCTTGGAAAAAAATGCACAATTTTGGTAAGTGATGTCAATAATGGTGAAGGCTATGCATTTGTGGAAGCACAGGGTAAATGAAAGGGGTATATGAAATCTCTGTATCTTCCTCCTTCCCTTTTTTTTTTTTTTGAGGGAAAGGGAGAAAGAGAATTCTAAGCAGGCTCCACACTCAACATGGAGCCCAATATGGGGCTCAATCTCACAACCCTGACCTGAGCTGAAATCAAGAGTTGGCTGCTTAACCAACTGAGCCACCCAGGCACCCCTTTCCTCTCAATTTTATTATAAACCCAAAACTGCTATAAAAAATAAAGGCTTTCTTTTTTTAAAGCCCTATAAATGAAAACTGAGATAAAAATAAAGAGCTCTTAGGGCATCTGGCTGGCTTAGTCAGTAGAGCATGCAACTCTTGATCTCGGGTCATGAGTTCAAGCCCCACGTTGGG